CCCCCCCCCCCACACTGTTTCCACCTCCCCACCCCTCCTGCTAAATTATGACCAGTCCCTAATCCCTAACCAAGATCGCGTGTCTGGCAACTCGCACGCACTCTCATTTTCGTTTGACCGGGGCTAATATCATTACTGCATGTTATGTTTGGCCTGCAGGGTTTGTTGGCAACCTGCTAGTTTTTTTACCACAAGCGCGTGAAAATATCGCACAGCATGGCTGGCGTTTGTCATATCATACAATGGTTCTATGCGTGAATATCAGGGGCTTCTAGATTGGACTGACGCTGAGGGATTTTGTAGATAGATGACTGACTGTATAGGTATAGCTCAGTTGGTTAGAGCGCTGCACCGCAATCACAGATTCGATTCCTGCCGAGGGCTTATACTGATTACTGTTATATAGTTAATATATATAATGTAGTATTTTAAAACAAGTTTGAAGTACTATTTAAAACATGAGCAGCAGTGTTTTATTAGATATAAAGATACGAGGCGAAGCCGAGTATCTTTAGATCTGACAAAACACCCACTGTGAATGTTTTAAATTGCTTTAAAAAACGATCGATCTAGTAAGTTCATTAGCAGCGAAGTATTAAATTTTCAAAAAATACTTTGTGTAAGTCGAGAAAATCGAAGTTAAAGTTTATGTAAATCAAGCCTATTCAAGGGAAATCTTTATCACATTTTAAGATACGACACGCTTATGATTTTTCTTTGTGTTTTCCTCATGAATTATATTGAGTTTTTGAAGATGTTTTAGAGAGAATTTTGCGCGTCCAGTTGGTCCTTATATTAGGAGCTGCGGGTTTTTATTGTCTAGCAATATTTATTTGGCAAATAACGGGTTGCGCATTCATTCAGATCGCTCAGATCAGTGATGGGTATTCTCCCTAACTTAGCATGCATTTAGCAACTCGTTACCTATAACAACATTTTAAACACTGTTGTTCCGTGGGAATTAAAAAACTGATTGCCAAATCATCAATAAATTGCCAAATTATATATATACATTTCTTTCCGATAAGATTTCCAAATTCGTTTATTTCCTGCTTGACAAACAATGCGTGCGGTTTCTAAATTTTCAAACCCTGTATAATATACAAGGAGGGGAAATATTCATAATTTTGACCCGCCAGCCATTATTCGCCAATGCGGATACTTTGTCGGTATAGATCAAAGTGGTTACCTCCTGTCGTTATCACTGGTTGACCAGTATTGGGAATGACAGTGAATTGTTGTGTGGGGAGCTTCAATAGACTTCGTCGTGATCATCTGGTTGTAACCTCAAAGAACAGCTAATAAATCTAAGAAAGCTACTGAGTTTTTCTTTATCTGTCCCAGAGTTTCGACCAAAAGGTATTATTCAATATTATCTTATATAATACACTGGACCTCTTGTACTGCACAGGGAAATTAGCACGGTGACCAGACATGCGAGTTATACGTTATCTCAAAATCGTGCTTTCTATATAGATTATATACTTACTCGTCTCCTGACTCGGGATCGATGATCTGAAAAATTTGACAACAAAAAAATTGTTTCTTCCTCTCTCTCTTCTCACGCTTGTTTGAATTTTGTAACCACTTTTAGTAATTTGTAAAAAGTACATAGTATACTCTAGTAAATAGATTTCAATGCCCCGAAGATGTTGTGTCTTGTGGTACGTATACAGCGAAACATCAGCAAATAAATTTTATTAGTTTATTGTTATGTATTTATCTTTTTGAATTGGAAAATGTGCTTTTAAATATTCCGCCACAGTGTTATGGCCAGTGTGACTATTCCTACTTACAACAACACTCAACAGGTACTTTTAAACAGCAATACAAATTCGATTTACTGTTATAATGTTATAATGTTTGGGGAAAACACGCTATATAAACACGCTCTTTCGCCTGGGCGAGTTTCCCGTAAATTGATCAGCGGATTATATTAAACTGTGTATGTATATTGCTCTCTCTCTCTCTATATATGTTTTTCTTTGATCGACTTAACTTTTAATTTTACTCTATAATGGTTGATAAATTCAAATATAGTATAGGCGTTGCCAGTGATCAACTCGAAAGCTTCTGCTACCTTTGGCTACCGTACACATTTTCATAATATTCCCAATTTTTTATCTTCACATATATATATTTGCCTAATAATTGTAATGTATACTTTAAGAATTTATTTTTGTATAGGTTTCTCTGAAATAGTACGTAGTGTCTTATTTTACCTTGCCTTGCCAAACGCGGGGCAAATTATTTCTATGTATAAACCGATCTAATACAAGACCCCCTGTTACACCCGATTCGTTGGTCCATCAAAATTTAATGGGTTTCAGGAATATCTTAAATTTCCGATAATATGACAAAATAAAAGGAAAATTGTTGATGGGGGAGATTTTGTGGGCAGATATTGGACGCCATATGTTGATGTCGTGACAAGCGAATTATCCGGCATCGTGTTACTGGCGCTACTCCTCAAACTTTGTTTACGGTTCCCAAAAATGTACAATACATTTTATAATCAGCACGAAACGGAATCTCGTGGTGTTAATCTAGGCACTTCATTAACACATAATGTAAGAAATCTGTCAGCTTATATTATGGTGAATTTAATTTTGCTTTCCGATGCTGTTTTTCGTGTGGCCAAATGCCTTGCAGCTGTTTTGGGGATATGTCGTTTATATAGTGTTACTGTGGGAATGTAGTGGGACTGTGTGACTAGTTTCACGTTTGTATTAAAAGTTCTTTGCCTTGGGGCTTTGTTTGTTTTACTGTCATCGTTCACTGTTGTGATCGTAATTTCATGCATGATTTTTACACTATGTAAATTTTTGTGATCACAGTGGGAATTTTGCATAACTTAGAGTCAGTTCCCACGAACAATTCCTACACATCCTTCAAAACTTAGAATTTACCCTCATGTAAAAATGTTTACTGTGATCACAGAAACTTCCACAGTGTAAAGCAGCCTTAAATATGCAAATGGCGAAAAGTATATCATTGACTGAAGCCTGACCCTAAAACAATATCACTCAACCTACTGTTGTTCAGAGACTTGAGTTACGATCCCCCCTCGCACAATTCCCCTCCCCCCACACACACAATTCCCTCCCTCCCCCACAATC